TATTTTGCGAATCTAACTTGGGCAACAATACTTGGAAATTACATCATGATTATAGGTCCAATGATCCCCTTAAGTCCTTTGAGCCATCCTTAATGCCTCTATAGCTAACTATTGTTACCATGAATTTTGGCTTTTTTTCTTCTTTTTTTTTTCCATGAATTTTGGCTTCAATAATCTATCCATTATCATTATCGTCTTCCATTTTACTCCAACAAATTTGTTTTATTCATTATTTAATATAAAAGCTAGAGTGCTTATATCATAATGAAATATAAAACTTAGGTTAATCATTTATTATATTACTTAGGGGTGTCAATTCGGGTCAATGGGTCGGGTTCGGGTCGAACCCGAAACTGACCCAGCAGTATTCGGGTCAACCCGAACCCGAACTGTTTTTAAAAACGGGTCAGGTTTTTGGACTCGAACCCAACCAAATTAGGGTCCGGGTCAACCCGACCCAACACGAATGACCCGAAGTTGACCTAAAATTGCTAGTTTTTGGGTCAAAAATTTGGTCAATCTTCGATTTTCGGGTTAAAATCGGGTCAAAATCGGGTTTCCGGGTCAAATAGGAGTTTTCGTGTCAATTTTGAATCATTCTCAGGTTAATTTCGGGTTGCTGGGTCAACCCGAACCCGACCCGTTTCGGGTCCGGGTTGACCCTAACCCGAATTTTTCCGAGTCGGGTTTGAGTCGTGTTTCGGGTCGTATCAAAAATTGACACCCCTAATATTACTTATAATAATTCATCAATAAGATCACCTCTAATAATATCTTAATATACTTTTCTCTTAATATATAAAATAGTAAAACATAAATATAACATAGTAACATCTCATTAACAAGTCTTCGGTCGGGACGGTTTTCTTATTACTTCTTAAAGAAACTTTTTAATACAAAAATTAAAAAAAAATTTGCTAGAAAACTGTTTTAAGAAGTAGTAAGAAAGTTATCTCAAAGGAAGCCTAAGATTAGCTTGGTTATAACTTTACTCAATTATATATTTTCCTTACCTAAAAGCAATGTACGGAAGTAAAAATAAATTTTTTTTTTTTGTGGGGCACAAATAATCAATTTTAAAGTACTCACAATTTTTTTAAAATTGAGATTGGTACTGGTAGTTTTAATTTTTTTTTTTTTTTTTGTTAGAATTGTTATGATAAACAAATTTAAATGATAAAAACATTTTAATTCACTTGAATATTATGTTATAATTAAAAAAATAAAGGTAAATTTATAACCAAAGTTCATTAAGGCAAATGCTTATAAATTTACTAAAGTAGCCACCCTAAAATACAAATAAATCTGATAATTATCTAGTGCATTAAGGCAAATGCTTCTAAATTTAAGACATCAAAAATTGCTTTAAAATGTGCGCAATATAGGAATATTCAATATAAATTTATTTTGTATTTATTTTAAAATAAATATAATAAAATTGAAATCTATCCTCATATTTCTTGTGAATTTTCATCCTTTATTAGACAAAATAAAATCATTTTCTTCTCTTATGAAATTTCATCCTTTATTAGACCAAATAAATTCTATATTTTTTTATTCCGAACCTACATTAATTGATCAAATTATGTTTATATTAAATTACAATACAA